TATGATGCGTCTGCTAGGGTAATGTGGGGTTTTAGGTTGGGATATTTTTGATAAAAGTGATGGATTACTAGTAACACATGTTCAGGAGCTCCGGAGTCCAACACCCAAGGGCCAATCAACGAAGACTTTAAGAGACAAACTTTAGAATTACTAGTATGAGCAAATGTTGCTGAGACGAAGGCACGAAGCCTGTGAAGCCTTAAATTGCAAGTATGTCGTGTACTCTTCGTTAGATACCACATTTTGATTAGTGATTCCCAGCTAAAAGTCATTTCCACATCATTAGACTGAGTTATGTATATTAATTTTCTTGGGAAGCCCACAAGAGAGTAACACTTATCTTCGGAATGACCAAACCTCATATAATATGTGCACCGAGGACGTCCTCTACCACAACCTCCTCGGTCACCCCCACGATCTCGTCCTTCATGACCGACAAAATAAGAAGCAAAAGTGGAAGATTCTATACCATTGTCGGGTGCATTCACCCTTGTCCCTTATGGACTAGACATGCGTTGGAGGTGGCTAATCAAATTCTCTGTGGATGGAATCTCCGATGCAGTAAGAATATGACTGCAGACTGACTCGTAATTCTTATGAAGGCCATGAAGGATGTTGAAATACAAGAGACTAAGAGACATTTGAATAAACCGTGTGTCTTGAAAAGCACTACGGAGACATTATTATATATAAATAGAATACAACTAATTACATGATATAGTCGATGTGGGACTATTCTATATACAAATATTCTTAACACTATATATATATTTACACATATCAACACTCCCCCTCAAGCTTGAGCATATAAGTCAAATGCACCAAGCTTGTTACATATATAGTTAGTTCTGGGGCTTCGTAGGGATTTTGTAAACACATCTGCCAATTGATCATTAGAGTTGACAAAGCTTGTGACGATGTCGCCTGACTCGATCTTCTCTCTGACAAAGTGACAGTCTATCTCAATATATTTGGTCCTCTCATGGAAGACTGGATTTGAAGCAATGTGCAATGCAGCTTGATTATCACAAATAAGTGTCATTGGTCTTGCTTCTTCAATTTGAAGTTCCTTGAGCAACTGTTTTAACCAAATAAGTTCACATGTTGCCATTGCCATGTCCCTATACTCTGCCTCGGCGCTTGATCTTGCAACTACATTTTGTTTCTTACTTTTCCAAGATATAAGGTTTCCTCCAACAAGTACACAATACCCAGAGGTGGATCGTCTATCAATGGGTGACCCTGCCCAATCAGGGTCAGAGTATCCAATTATCTGGGTATGTCTTTTATCCTCATACACAAGACCTTTTCCTGGAGCACATTTGATGTATCTCAAAATCCGGATAACAGCATCCATGTGTTCCTGACAAGGGGAATTTAAGAACTGGCTGACCACACTGACTGCAAAAGAAATGTCCGGACGAGTGACTGTGAGATAATTCAACTTTCCAACCAATCTCCTATATCTTCCTGAGTCAGATAAAGGCTCCCCCTGATTGGGTAGTAGTTTAACACTTGGATCCATAGGAGTATCAGCTGGTTTAGCATTTAACAAACCTGTTTCTTCCAAAATATCCATAGCATATTTCCGCTGAGAAATCACCAGACCATCTTTAGATTGGGCTACTTCAATACCAAAGAAATAGCGGAGTTTACCAAGATCTTTTGTCTGAAATTGTTTCGAGAGATGTTGTTTCAACTGGAGTATTCCCTGCTGATCACTACCTGTTATGACAATGTCATCTACATACACAATAAGATAAATACACCCTTGGGGTGAGTGACGATAAAAAACAGAATGGTCAGCTTCACTACGGATCATACCAAACTGTTGTACTACAGTGTTGAATCTGCCAAACCAAGCTCTCGGAGATTGCTTAAGACCATAAAGAGATCTGTGTAGCCTACAAACCATATTCGATGACTCCCCCTGAGCAACAAACCCAGGTGGTTGCTCCATATATACTTCCTCTTCAAGATCACCATGTAAGAATGCATTTTTGATGTCAAGTTGATGAAGAGACCAATGTCGAATGGCTGCAATGGCTAGAAGAAGTCTAACAGATGCCATCTTGGCTACAGGCGAGAAGGTATCACTATAATCCAACCCAAAAATTTGAGTGTATCCTTTGCCTACCAAGCGGGCTTTAAATCGATCAATCTTGCCATCTGGACCAACCTTCACTGTATAAAGCCAACGACAACCTACTAAAGATTTCCCATGGGGTAGAGGAACCAGTTCCCAGGTACCACTGCTTTGAAGAGCACACATTTCATCAATCATTGCTTGCCTCCACTCAGGGTGAGATAATGCTTCACCTGGAGTTTTAGGAATAGAAACAGAAGACAAAGAAGACAAACAAGTATATTGCAAAGGGGAAAGACGATGATAACATAAATCAATATAATGTGGAGAAGGATTTCGTGTTTGACGTATACCTTTTCGAAGGGCAATCGGAAGATCAGACTCAGGTTGCAGGATCGAATCCGGTGATGGCGAGAGCGTCGGAGGAGAGTCCGTAGTGACCTCAGGGATAGGTATGACTTCAGGGACAGGTACGACTTCAGGGACAGGTACGACCGTAGTGACCTCAGGGACAGGTACGACTTCAGGGGCAGGTACGACAGACTTTGGGTGACGACGCTGATATGTTTGAAGTGGGCGAGGAATGGGGGGGTCAACCACAGGGGTAACTAGTGGGTCAGGTTCCCTAGAAGGATGGGGGATAATGACAGATGGGACTTCCGGAAGAGGTGTGGGAATACTTTCCTGTAGAGGTTCCGTAGTAACTTGGCTGGATTCGAAATACGGAACAGACTCGAAGAAGGTAACATCGGCGGATACGAGGTATCGTTGTAGAGTATGTGAGTAGCAACGATAACCTTTTTTGGATCGATGATAGCCAAGAAAGACACACTTTAGTGATCGAGCTGATAGTTTATCAAGACCAGAGGAGAGATTGTGTACAAAACACGTAGACCCGAAGACTCGAGGAGGAATTGGGTGGAGTGGAGAGTTTGGAAACAAGATTGAATGAGGGATTTTATTATTAAGGACAGATGATGGCATGCGATTTATGAGGTAACATGCCGTGAGCACTGCATCTCCCCAAAACCGGAGAGGAACATTACCATGGAGAAGTAGGGTCCGAGTGGTTTCTACGAGGTGCCGATTTTTGCGTTCGGCTACCCCGTTTTGTTGGGGTGGACAACTGAAGCGTGGAAATAGATGGTGGGTGGCCCGATAGCGGAAACCATAGAAGGTGGCCCACCGGATCTTAGACGAGGCTCTGATACCATATTAGAGTTTGGCCTAACACAACCTTACAAAACCGGTTGGTAAGGTGAGGGGTGTCACTCTATATAAACTATTTCAATGCTCTATCTCCAACCAATATGGAACTTTAGGATCTTCCTAATACACCCCCCTCACACCCAGCACTCGGCTGCACAAGGTCCAATCGATAGGCTCTGATACCATGTTGAAATACAAGAGACTAAGAGACATTAGAATAAACCGTGTGTCTTGAAAAGCACTACGGAGACATTATTATATATAAATAAAATACAACTAATTACATGATATAGTCGATGTTGGACTATTCTATATACAAATATTCTCAACACTATATATATATTTACACATATCAACAAAGGAAATAAATCATGTGGCTAATCAAATTTTCTGTTGATGGAATCTCCGACGCAATAAGAATATGAGTCCTACTGACTCGTAGTTCTTATGAAGGCCATTAAGGACATAAATCATGCATACATTATCTAGTTTCTCAATCATCTTTGAATCCTCACTATTAACAAGAAGTTGGAACTCGTTTCGCATAAGACATGATGTCCTCCGTCATTTGAAGGTTGGCCAAATTATGAATAACATCATATAGATGTTGAATATCCTTAGAATAAACATTTTTAATCATGTTGTATACAAGCGATTGTGGACCAACAAATAAGACTCAATGGATTGCCTCTGAAAAGTGACTAATTAATAGTTTACTCGCTCCTATTCACCACACAACTCTTTAGCATGTCTGCTGCTTTCTTAGTGAGATGGTCTGAGAGCTTTTGTCCAAGAAACCACATGTTTACAGTAGCCGAACAATGTAAATAATTCTCACAGTTGAGTTTCTCGGAGGTTATAACGGGGTAAATAATTCTCACAGCTGAGTTTCTCGGAGGTTATAACAGGATGGTCAGAGAAGATAAAGGAAACAAGACTCTTATCGGTTGATCCGAATTTGTTTCCATCTTTTTTGATAAATCCAGTGTTGAACTCATCTTGTACTACACTTAACACAATTTCTCTTATATTAATTCTCTAGTGACATATTTTATAGAAAAACTCTTATTTTTTTTATTGACGTACCCCTCCCTTGATTTTTTTTAAATGTTGTATCCCATATCAGTATTTGGACTCGTACTGGATACCGTCCCTGTCCCTGTCCCTGTCCCCGTCCCTATGAATCTTAGAAGCTTATTGTTGGTTTTCTGCGCCAGCGTTTTTGGGTTCTAATTTGTGGCGCAATAAATGTAGTGCATTGTGCCCGTCGTACACTTGCATGTTGCATCTCACGTTTTTGATGGTCCAAAATAGTTTGTCTTGAAATTAACGTTTAGAACATGCTTGATGATATTGAACAAAAAAAAGTTGAAGTAGTAACTTGAATTTAGTCACTAGGAGTTACTAAAGGATTGATAGAGTAATTTTGCCAATTATTATGCGAATCATTTATGATATTTACAATTTGGACTTCCATAAGAAATTTTCATTTAGTATACAGCAGCACCTTCTTTAATATTGTTATATGATACTGTACACAAGCATGATTAATATCCGTTTTTCAGGAATTTTGCTCGATATATGTTGGATTCAGTAGTTTTGTGTTTTTTACTGATCATTCTTGGTTTCTGTTTTATTTTCTCTTCATGCTTCCCCCCTTTTCCAGATGTTAAGTGATTTGATTTGTTAATATTATGAATGCCAGGAATTGGACTTTTTAACGGAGGCAAAGAACAGTGAGAGGTGTTTGGAGAACTTCCATAAGTTGTCTCCTCATATCGCAAATTATGTATATGCACCAAAAGTATATTGGAATCTGAGTTCGTCAAAGCTGCTTACAATGGAATACATCGATGGTGCTTATGTAAATGATGTGAAGGCCATTAAGAAACTAGGGATCCGTCCACATGAACTTTCGATATTGGTCAGTTCATGCTTATTGCTTCATCATAGATGCTTGTAAATGATGAATGGTGGTGTTGATAGCGTATAGCCCTTTTATAACATGTTGCTAGTGGTATGATAGCTTTGATCACATATGTCAAAGAAGTTGTGCAAGTTAATAGGGGTTCTGATTCCCCCATGCAATTGGTACCCCATATAGTTTATCATGGAAATTACGGGTAACTTAGTAACATAAAGCTCCTTGACCCTTGCTATGTGTGTAGTCCATAGAGGGTGAGAATCAGACCTACTATGCGAGCCAATATTATACATCTAGCCTTATATTTTCAAGAGTTGATTCTACGAATCAAACCTGTAATGTGACCTCTTGGTTATATACGGGTAACGTCCCTTCAGCTTACCGACAAAAATAATTTACTAAATGTGATCGTTATTTTACAGGTTAGTCAAACTTTTGCTGAAATGATGTTCAAGCATGGGTTTGTACACTGTGATCCACATGCTGCAAATTTGTTGGTTCGCCCATTGCCTTCCAGCAAAGCTAGCATCCTCGGTAAGGATTCCGTCGCTTGCAAACTTGAACTCTTTCTATAACTCTTCACAATCTAGATATAGCCTTCACTTTGTGTCTTTTTATTTCTCTTGCACTTTTGGTTTGCTAATTCTGCTCTTAAGTAAGACAGGAGGGGGTTCCATTGATTTGGAGGTTTAAGAAAGTTGTTTTGGACTTTGAAGGGAAAATAATGGCAGCGGTTACTATTAATAAATTCCATGATATGTAGCATTTGGAGAATAAGTGTAATGAATGGATACAATACAATCAACTAGTATCCGAAAGAGAAAAGAGGAAAAGATATAGAAAGAAATACACCAAAATTCTTATTGGCATATCCCCGAGGCACTACTCAACTAGGGAAATTCAAGAGCTCCCTTACAAGTCACTCCAGAAGTCACTAACCAACTAATGCTCACCTCCCTTATTCATATAATATAATCACTTTGGTATCTTCTTGGATATAAATTCCCAAGAGGTTTTTGAACTCCATTAGTGTGCTATTTTCAATTACTTAAGCCTTGATCGATAATTCAGCTTGGCTAGCAGTGGCTGTGGTTGTTCTTCCCCCTCCTTTAGCTGCTTAAGTGTTACTATTCCCCCTCATATATCCCCTTGACCCGAAGCCTCCTGTACAGTAAGTGACTTCTTGGCAGTCCACTAGTTGCATGAATCCTCTACCCCTTTTACTGAGTATTGTACTTCTTTTATCACCATCAGCCCAGCTCAGCTAAAGTCTATCTGGTGGAGTCTTTACTTGGGCTTCACCTGATTTGTAAATCCCTCTACGAATATATATTCCCTTCAAGTAGTCTTGTTTGGATATTTTAAAGGGGCCTGCATAAACCTCTACCACTCTCGATACTTCCCTACACTCTCTTCTTGCTTCAAGCTTAGCAGTACTCTGAATGGGTTCTGCATCATGTCTCATTAAATATTAGTGATCTTGTTCCATTGAAGTTTTTGGCTTGTTTGCTCACATGCAGTCTTGTTTTTAGAATAACTGCAGCATTGATATTCTATGTGTTGGAAAATATTTTATTTTCATATTTAATTGTTTACATTTATTGTCATTTATTTTCTTTTATTCTCCATTAAGGAGAGATTAAATATTTTTATTGTATTCTCATTATATAAACTAGCCTTTGACTGAGGAATAAAATTACAACAACTTTTATCTATTTCTTTCGATATGGTATCAAGAGCTTTGAGTTAGGGTTACCGTAAAGCTTTCTACAAGTAGAACGCCTCGAAAAATTTCTGTTCGACCCGCTTTTTTACCCGATCCGATTCATATACCCGTTTAACCTCTTATGGCGAATAACAATGGCGGTGGCCGCAGCAATGGAGGTGGCCGTGGAAACGGCGGCGGTCGTGGAGATAGCGAACGAGAGGAACCGCCAGTGGTCACAAACAGTGGCAATAATGACGACAATTATGGTTTTGATGGTTTATCACATTTATAGATGACCATGCAAGAGTATGTTGGGTGTACTTGTTAAAGGGGAAATCAGATGTTTGCCGGGCTGAAAAGAATTTTTTTTAAATGGTGCAGAACCAATTTCAAACAAATATCCAAGTTTTTAGAAGTGATAATGGCAAAGAATATTTTAACACTATCCTGGATGATTTATTTTCTAAAAATTGGGACTGTACATTAAAGTTCATGTCCTAATACTCAACAAAATGGAGTGGCCGAAAGGAAAAATAGACATTTATTGGAGGTTGCTAGAGCTCTACTTTTTTCGAATAAAGTACCAAATTATTTGTGGGGCGAAACTGTTTTAACAGCTGCGTATTTAATTAACAGAATGCCCTCTAAAATTCTCAATTTTTAAACTCCAATTAATGTCTTCAAAGAATGTTTTCCTAGTACTCGTATTTTAATTGATTTGACTTTAAAAATCTTTGGTTGCATAGTTTTTGTTCATGAACATAAATATGTTGGAAAACTTGAGCCACGTGCTATAAAATGTGTCTTTGTTGGATACTCCTCAACCCAAAAAAGATATAAATGTTTTGATCCAAAAAAAAAGAAAATGTTTGTCACTATGGATGTTACATTTTAAATTGAGGACTCGTTTCAAATTGAGGACATGAGTTTTTTGAAAAATTTATCTTTGCCTGTACCACAAAATTCTGAGACTTCTACATCTGCACCAATAGAAAATGGCCATGATTCTGTATCTGATCCTACTCCTGTTATGAGTAAGGAGCCTTGTGAATCTGAGCCTACATTTTCTCTTGTAAAAAACAATGAGAATCCTGAAAACGATGATAATGATGATCTAATTGAAATGCCACAAAATAATGAGTCACTTCAAGAAAACAGATTCGAATTAGGAAACAGGACTTAGAAAGGGAAGATTTTTATGAAAAAGCACCATAAACGAAAGGACGAGTCCACATCTCAAACACTGTCAGGAATCTGAACTGGGGAATGATCAACCTCCTAACAAAAGGAAAGGTAAGTCTATCTCTGTTTCTGAGAGTCGTATTTTATATTCTAATATAGATGATCCTGTTGCCATTAGAAAACCTGTCAGATCTTGCACTAAACACCTCATGTTCAATTTTATTTCATATTCAAATTTGTCTTCATCTATGTCTGTCTTCACCTCAAAATTGTCTAGTGTAGAAATTCCAAATAGTGTACAGGTTGCTCTAGAAATTCTAAAGTGGACGGAAACTGTACTTGAGGAGATGAAAGCTCTTGAAAAGAACAAAATTTGGAGTGTTACGTCGCTACCAGATGGCAAGAAGACAGTTGGATGCAAATGGGTGTTTACTGTGAAGTATAATTCATGGGTCAATTGAAAGGTACAAGGCTCGCTTGGTGGCTAAAGGCTTCACTCAGACATATGGTATAGACTACTCAGAGACATTTGCTCCTGTTGCAAAATTGAACACTATAAGAATTCTTTTATCTCTTGCTGCTAACCTAGATTGGTCCCTACATCAATTAGATGTTAAGAATGTCTTTCTTAATGGTGATCTAGAAGAAGTATATATGGACATTCCTCCTTGTTTTGAAAACAAATTTGGATCAAATGTATGCAAACTAAACAAGTCTTTGTATGGATTAAAGCAGTCTCCCAGAGTTTGGTTTGAAAAATTCACTCAGTCCATGAAGAATCAAGGATACATTCAAGGACAGGCTGATTACACCTTGTTCACAAAATTCTCCAACGATGGGAAAGTTGTTGTTCTGATTGTTTATGTTGATGATATTGTCCTTACTGGAGACGATATGGTGGAGATGACAAGGGTAAAAGAGAAATTGGCAGTAGACTTTGAAATCAAGGATTTGGGATTCATGAGATATTTTCTAGACATGGAGGTTGCTCGGTCAAATAATGGTATTGTGGTTTCACAGCAGAAATACATTCTAGATTTATTGAAAGAAACAGGAATGAGTGGATGTCGTCCTGCAAATACCCCTATGGATCCTAATGCTAAACTTTGGGGAGAAGGTAATGTTCCTGTTGGTACTAGAAGATATCAGAGATTGGTTGGGAAACTGATTTATTTGTCACACACCCGACCTGATATTGCTTTCTGAGTCAGTGTAGTGAGTCAGTTTATGCATTCTCCTTTCAAAGAACATCTTGAGGCAGTTTATAGGATTATTTTTTAAGAAGACTAGTGAAAAGAATGTGTCTATCTTCGCCGATGTTGATTGGGCAGGTTCAGTCACCGATAGAAGATCAACCTCTGGACACTGTACCTATGTTTGGGGTAATCTTGTGACATGAAGGAGCAAGAAACAAGGCGTTGTAGCAAGGAGTAATGCAGAAGCCGAGTTCAGAGCTATGTTTGGAAAATATTTTATTTCCATATTTAATTGTTTATATTTATTGTCATTTATTTTCTTTTATTCTCCATTAAGGAGAGAATTAAATATTTTTATTGTATTCTCATTATATAAACTAGCCTTTGGCTGAGGAATAAAATTACAACCACTTTTATCTATTTCTTCCAATACTATGATTTACATTTCTTATTTGTTAATTTCGCATATTTATTTATTTTCTCATGAACAGGTTGGAGAAAACCACAGTTGATTCTTTTAGACCACGGACTCTATAAAGAGCTTGACTTCAATACAAGAACTAATTATGCTGCACTATGGAAGGCGTTGATATTTGCTGATGCTAATGCAATCAAGAAATACAGTACAAAGTTGGGTGCCGGGGAGGATTTATATGCACTTTTTGCTGGAGTTCTAACAATGAGACCTTGGAATAGAGTTGTTGACCCATCAATGGATCACTTAGTTATAAAAGGAAGTCAGAGTGAACTATCAGAACTTCAGGTAAGATTATGGTTCAAGGGAAATCCTTTTTCCTATATATTATCTTCAGTAATAGATTCATGTTCTTTTAGGTTATAATGCTTGCGCTTTACTTCTTTGCTTTTTAAAATTGTGAATTATTTCATACCCATGCTCATGCTGAATATCTTACAATATGGATCACTATTCTTAATATGTATAATTCTACAGCCTGTATTCTGCAGTTTAACTACCTTTTTTTTTTGGTATTGTTCAATTACTATTTGCAACACAGTTCTCTTTTTGCTAAATATATAGGTCAATATGTTTTAACAAGATATAATGATGCTCTACATTGCTGAATTTATTAGCCTGGCATGTGGAGCCCTGATGAAAAAGAAGTTCGAAATAATTCTCCTAATTGTTTTATGCAGATGTATGCTTCTGAATATTTCCATGAAATCTCAGAGCTTCTAAGGAGATTACCACGTGTGATTCTTCTAATGATGAAGACAAATGACTGTTTACGGGCAGTCAACAATACCCTGGTACATACAATACCATGTTTTCCATCTACTACCATTACTAAACTTGTGATTGAATGATTAATACTCTTCAAACAAAAGTAGCTTGTGTATATATGTAAAAATTAATATGGCCAGCCTGTTACATGTAAGTAAAATAGTATTTATCATGTCCAAGTTGCTGTTTCTGTTTTTAATGACTTTCTTTTTTGGGTGTCATCAGATACAGGGATCACATTTGGAAACATCCCTGAAGACATCTTGTATCATTGGAAGGGTTTCTTCCGAGGCTGTCACTGCGGCAAAAATGTCACAAAGCAAGTCAGTTCTAACTTGGTTTAGTGTTAAATTGGATAAAATTTTGCTGGAAATACAGATTTGGAAAATACAGATGGCCCTGTGGCTTTTGCAACTGAGAAAGGCGTTGCCTTGGTCTCACAGAGCATCATAAAGAAAGACCTAATCTTCGTAATTTCCTTTTTGCTACATTTTATTTTACTTTTTACGAAATATTCTTATATTCTTTGTCTCGGTGCTCAGAAATTCCTTCCCAATTTGTGGCATAGTTTGAGCACGGACTAACGAGTTGACTTTTAGTGCGTGGTTTTCGGGTTTGGAGCTGTAAAATCGTGTCTGAACAAAAGATACAAAGATTTGAAGGCTTTTCAAACCAAAATGAAACATGCATTTTATAGGTTAAATGATATACATGTATTCAAGTGACGCAGAATGTTGTAAATCCCAATAAAATGGGAAAAGTGCACTGAGAAAAACATGTTTAGATAACATAAATATATGGCACGGTTGCAAGTGTAACAGTTTGATAATTCAGACGCATTATTATATATGCTTGTATATTTTTTTTTTCTTATATAGTTCTGTTATTTGGTCTCTTGGGTTGAGGAAGATATTTAACTTGCTGTACAAGAGGTTTCATGCTTTTCTATTTGTTGATCATTTTCCATTTCAAAGAGGAAAACTATTATTACCGATAAAAGAAAATTGCACAAAAATGGAAGTTACCAAACGAAATCTTTTAACCTAGTGTGAATTTTGTACATTTTTAATACTTGAATGATTATATCAGTCATTGTTTTTCACACCATTCCTTACATACTGGTCAAGAAAAATAAAATAAGTTGAAATGCATTTTTTACTAAATGTCAAACAAAATTACATCAGAATGGTGTGAAAATAAAACTTCGTACCCATTTCTTTGTTGCTATTATAAATCATCAATCCTCCTAATCTTTCACCTACTGAAAAATAAACAATTACAAGCCTCAAAGGGAAGATTTACAATCAATCTCTCTTCCCTTCTTAGGCAAAAGCCAAAACCATACCTCATGTCACATCATTATTGATGCTATTGTTCTACCTTCACATAAAAATCCCCAGATTCACAATCATTTTTAGGCAGTTGATCAGGATTTTGAGTGGTATTCTCAAAAACCATCCCTCCAAAACCATATTGTTGTACAACAAGCAACGAAGAACATGAACCAAAATTATTTGATGCAACCATGTCCCCTATAACACCAAGTTCAGGACAATCGGCCCCCTTAAGTAAATCCGACAACATCAAAGAATTTCTTCCTCTCCCTTGACCTAGAATGTACAAATCATATCCAAGTTTGTCCAACTCTTCCATCACTAGAGGAATATCTTCGCCATAATGAACTTCTTTTTCTGAATAATTTATAGAATCTTTATTGTTCACTGCTTTAAGTCTAAAAGAATTCACATACTCATCATCAAACTCTTTTTGCTTTTCACAATCCATCACTGCAGAAAATAGTTCTTTTGATTCTGCTTGTGGTGATGAATCAACTTGAGCAGCTTCTCCTAACATAGTAACTCTCACAACAGATAACTGAATTGCTTCGTGCTTTGACATCCTCCATGCTAGTGCTAACGCTTCCCGATCATCAGGACCGCCGAAGAAAACCATAAGTAGACGTAAATTAACTTTGAACAATGAACCAAGACCACGATCAACAAAGATTGCGACAGAACACGGTGCATCTCTCATCACATTTTGGTTTATATCTTTAAACGCTTGGTTCATTGTTTCTAGAATACCTTCTATGTTTGATTGTTTGTGAAAAGGAAGGAGAATCAACGTTGCCTGTTTTTCTCGTGCTACGATGTGTATGTCTTCATGAATGGTTGAGTAGGTTGAAACTGCAGCAAATGTATCAACACTGACATTTTCATTTTGTTCAGCATAGTCTTTGAAAGCGAAAGTTATGTTTTCTAAGTCTTGTTCTGATTCTGTGAGGGCTTGTGACCCACTTTGTGGATTGATATGTGCTGCTAAAAGGGATGCTGTGTTTCCCGTTATTTCAACTAGATGAAGTGCAAATATGCGTAACCGAGATAGTTTTATGGCGTTGGAAGCTTCGAGAATGTTGATCATTCCCATGGCTTGACGAGGATTGTGGACACAAGCTAAAATTTTTACTTCTGCTTCAACCTTTAGATTCTGTACTGTTCTTAGCTTGTTTTGCTTGTATAGCCGTCTTGGTTTGTATACACCATTGATTATAATAGGTACCAATAGCGTCATTAGAAGAACAGACAACATTATAATCGTGTAGGACTCCACACTCAATATCTGAAAATTAGAGAGAAAAAACAAACTATTTATCAACCATAATATGAACTTGATTTAAACTATAAATGAATCTTTCAAGAAATATATACCTCTTTGTCCCAAGCAACAATGAGCATTATTAGAGGTAAGATTTCTTTGGTGTTCATAAGCAATCCAATAGCCACACCATCATGAACAGGCATACCAAATAACTGAGTTACTATGACAGTGCTCAGAACCTTAGGGATACATGACAGAACCAAAACTATCACCACAAGCGACAAACCTTGACTTTGGATGACGCTAGATATTCGAAGTCTCACACCACAGCTAGCAAAGAAGAGTGGAGCAAGATAAACAGAAGCAAAATCCTCTGTCTTCTCTATCAACAGATTGGAAAATTTACCGCGCGGCAACATTATTCCGTATACTAATGCACCAACAACAGGGTGTGTCCCGAGAAAGTCAGTAATAAATGCAAAAAGATAAGCTCCCATCACAACATAAAACAGCTGACAATTTTCCCATTCATTCTGATTTGTTTTTCGGACGACTAACTGAACGAGATGAGGCCGAATCCCAATGAAACAAATAAGGACAAACGATACCGTACTTATCATCGAGTACACAGCAACCTTTTCATTAAGTGCGAACGGAATCAACAAAGCAAACATAACCCAATTGAAGAAATCAATAATCATTGCTACTGTTAAAGCAACTCTACCAAGACCTGTATAGAGAAGCTTCAAATCTGCAAGGATTTGAGTAACAATAGGATAACCTGTGACACTATAGATTAATGTCCAAAACATATAAGCTTTATACGTGTTGTAATGCGATAAATACACAGGAGGTCCTTTGTACATGCTTTGAAGTAAAGTATACATTGCACCTCCCATTATCATTGGAATTACAGTAGCTGCAATAGCAATTGTTGTAGCTTTCTTTCTCGCCCTCGTGATTGTTTCCAAGTTCATGTCTAATCCAGCAAGGAAAACATAGTAAACAAGTCCCACGTAAGATATGGTTTCATTTATTACCACTAACTTTACAGGAGCCAAAAGTTGGAAAAACAGTGTTTCCCCAAATATTTCTGGACTTAACATGAAACCTACCTGTTAACATAAAATAAAAGTTATTTAGAATAATAAACTAATTGATGCATGCATGCATGTATAATATAAGAATGTAGTTACCAGAATCTCAACAACAAATCGAGGTTGATTGAAGGGTCGAAAGAGGTAGTATAAACAACGATTAGCTAACAACATGAAAGCAATTTGAGCTGCGAAATTCGGAAGAAAAAATGTTAAAACGCTATCACTTTTCCATATATCATTGGCATTAGTCACACTTGTATAATAACATCCATAAAGTTTAGAGCCTGAGATATATTTGTCTTCCATATTTATGATTCACTTTCTCTTTGATTGCTACACAGGAAAATACCTTTGTAACCAACAAAGAAGAAAGTAGAATAATGTGAAGATGGAGAACAATGTTATGTGTCTATGATGTCATGTTTGTTGGAATCAAATTTTTCTGTCTTATTTAATTAACAATAATAACTTATCTTTGTGTCTGTTATTAGTCGTTATAATAACGAACTTGTTTTGGCATTTTATTTTACAAATAGTATTCATTAGTCATCATTCTTTGACTTATTAGTTATAATTAGTTAATTGCTATTACTTGATCGGGGATTACAGCTAATAGGGTGGCAATATGTTACCAACTTTGGCTGTATTTGCCCGGGCTTTTTTTAGTTTTAAGTAAAAGATACATTAAAAATGATAAAATAATATTAAAGTTATTCTTAAATTATAACTATTATTTTGCTTTAAAAGTATAATATAAGAAAAGTAAGGGTTTGAATTTTTTACCAAAATAATCAATTTTTCACCTCCTAAGTGTCAATGTACCTAATATTTCAAATTATTATCCAATCTACTATAGTTTCAGTTTTTTTTTTTTTTTTATTTGTGACGGGGCGCCATCCATAATGGAGTCACTCCTATACGATTTTTTAAAATTAATTTGTAATATATAATATGTTTAAAAATATTTAAGAATTAAAAGTATTTAATAAATAATAATTTTATAAATAATAATTTCTAAATAATATTTATATTTGTTAACAATTAATAAATAAATAATAGTTAGTATTTTCATTAATAATTTCCAAATAATAAATAAAAATTAAATTGTATTTAATAAATTAAATATTAAATAATAATAAAAAATTTATTTAATAACAAATAGGTACATATGAGAGATATGGTACACTAATTTCTACGACTAGGTCGGGATAAATGTCCACCTGTACCGCATCCTCTATTACGTACGTTTCTTGGTGGTCTTTGTGGTGGAGTCGGGTCCGATGTGTCGTCTTCAAGAAATTGGATCATTTCGGCCCATGAAGACGAGTCCATGTCCACAAAGTCATCCAAATTAATAGGGTTGCCCATGCCTTCATAATTATGTTGGGGTGGTTGGCTCGATGAGGCAATTTCAGGACGATAGCCTGCCTGGTCGTAGGGTGACATAGGTGTAAATGTTTGGGTCGGTAAGGTTGATTGGGTGTATGGTACTGCGTGTTAAATTGGTTTTTTGTATCACAGGAGTATGTTTGGTATGGTGGTGGATATTGTTGGTATTGAGACTGTGAATAAATTTGTGTGAATGGGGTGGATTGGTTAGGGGTATGTTCATGGAGTTGTGGTTGTGTGAGTGGGCGTTGGGTTGGCGGTTGGAAATGGGTCTGGGTAGGTTGTTGTTGGGGTCTTGATGACGAGGCTTGTTGGCATGGGTCAACCAGATATCTTGGATGCGAAATGAAACCAATGGATACCGACCTATACCAATTCATGTATTGGATAGACTATTTTTTCTCTGATGGAAACACAGTGTCGGACAAAACAAAATGGTGGCGATGCTTCCATTCACGACACTCATGTTTTGCATACTTGGTCCATGGAGTATATTCCCATTGGTCGGAGACTTTATTGGTGTGAAACTTGTCGGGATATATTTTGGCGGACATGGAATATCTTGCAGCATTCCAAACTGAAGCTTGACACGATCATTGTTGTGCATTGAAGTTGATAATCGGCACCTTTGCACTCCACACTGCAGAGTCGTGTTCGTCAACTTCATGAATGGCTTCTAGACCAAGATATGGCCACCAAATAAACTGTAGGAGAAAAAAATAATATTTAGTATTTTCTAATAATATTCAAGGAAACTATATTCTAAATAGGTAGGTTAGTGAGGGTACATCATCTTGACCCAAATGATCTATAAGATTTATGTATTGGGTGATACTGAAATGAGGACAGTTGTCGTAATTCATCCCAAGTGAAGACCACCTACAAATCGAAAAGAAAACATTTGTTAATAATAGGATTAATTAAGTAAAAGACTATGAAAGACAAGTCATTCTTGGTCTAAGTAATTACCTTGTAGTGTATGGGAATTCAAAATTATTTTATTGGATAGGTGCTAGATTGGTCATTCTTGACCAACCCTAAGCTTGAAGAAGAACACCACATCCGGTAAAATTTCCCGAATTTGCTATTGCGTTGTTACACAAAGACCGGTGTAGGTGCGCTAGTGTAGCGGACCCCCAACTATATGTTCTTATTTTATCTATGTCATCTAATAAAACTAAATACATAGGATGAATAACGTTACCACTTGAATCCGGACATAAAAATAAACTTATTAATAGCATAATATAAATTCATGTTTTTCTAATTTTCTAATTTTGAGCCATGATAATAATATTTTTTGGCCCCTCAAATCGCGCGGGGTTGGTTCAACCCCTAAAAGTTCTTCTATCACACTACCGCTAGGATTGGTGAGACCGTTTACCGCCTTACCATTAATGGATAAACCCAATAACATGTAAGTGTCCTCGAGAGTAACAACACATTCACCTATTGGAAGATGAAATGTATGCGTCTCAAGTCGCCACCTTTCTTGAAGTTCTAAAATGAACTTGGTATCAAGGAGATAATTTTTTATTTTGATGACTTCTCCAAATCCTGCGCGCGCCAAATATGGTTGAATTATCGGGTCATGTGGGAAATATTTATGCCCACGAGTTCGAAAGTCATGAGTATTCTACAAATCAATAAAATAAATCATTACAACATTGTATTTATAACAACAGTAGAATGCTACAAATCAATACAACATTGTGAATTATCGGGTACAAATACTTACATAAGACGCGATGTTGCTTGGTGTTCCTCTATGCATTTCGCCCAATGTTAACAGAGACATTTCTTCTATGGACTATATATTGTGAATATATGAAGAAAATATTGGTAGAATTTGAATTGTTTGATATATTTGATGAGTTTTGACAATGAGGAGGAAGAAGTATTTGTTAGACTATGGCACGGATCTAGAAGGGGGGGGGGGGGGGGGTTGAATAGATCCCCAATTAAAATTTGAGTCGGCGCTACCAATTTAAAATTGGTTTTAAAAATGTTTTAAGTGCGGAAGCGGCCGAGGAAAAATATAGTCTAAAACAAACGGTTATTGGAAAACCGGATATACGTAAGCCTATGGATTAATGACAATTTGGAAAAATAGAATCACAACACAAACTACGCTTATCAATTATTTACTTCAGTTTTAAGGATTCCTAGTTCCAATGATTCAAAATCAAACCAAAGCTAGATACACAAGTAAGATAATTTTGGTTCAAGCAATATGTCAAACACTTGGTGTGCAAAGACACTCCAAGTGATGTTTATGTTGAGTAAGTGATTTCAATCAACCTAGTACAACGTTTTGTTGTATATTAGAGTTAAAAACAACGTTTTAATCTCTTACTCAATTGACATTACAAATTTGACAATAGAGCTTACACAAAAATTACTTATTTTAGCTATAACGAAAATGCTGAAAGTAAAGAAGACACGTAATTTGGTGAGGCAGTTCCCCCGTCGTCCTCGCTTCGGGGAACGTCTGCCCTCAATTCTAAAACTAGAATTGAGATATATTGAATAGATATCACCTGTTTGAATGTACAGTTTATACAAGGATTGAGCAGCAAAAATTACAAAAAAATCTCAATGTGTTGAAAGTTGCCTTCACTCCTTGCCCCTTGATTCAAGCTGAATCAAGTTCTTCGATTTGTGTTGATGGACCTCCGACTCCAGCCACCTTATTGAAGAACACGTTGTTTTTCAAACCTTTGGCTCCGGCTGATCTCAATAGCACCAAATCGAACCCGAGATCTTCCCTTCAAAATCACCGAATCCGCTACTAGACTTGTGAAGACCACCTCTTCACAATCACCTTCGCTCGATTGATTGTTGATGAAGAATCTCGTCCAAAAACCCCCAAAATTCGAACCAATCTTGGAGGGTAAAATCCCAATGGTTTTATTCAAGAAAGAACCTGTCACAATCTTCAACCCGAGCTTGATTCTCCAATCTAAGCCTCGAACCTTATCACCTTGAATCTCTCACAAATGCATTTCAAAAATGATTGTGTGTAATTAAAATGTTGTGAGATGTTGAAGATGAAGATGATGAATCTTGAACACCTATTTCACTCTTTCTTGTTTTTGAACACATGAATCAACAGAATATCAAATGTTGTTAGACACAAGTGTTTAAGCAAGTATATATAGTGCCCACAAAATTTAGGACATAACAATATTTCAAATATGAGAGGGAACAAAGTTAAAATAGTTTTTCCGCGCGAACGGTCGACCATAACAGGTCTGTGCGTCGACGCATGGCCTGTGATGTTTTGAATTTCTGGAAATTTCATCAGTATGCGTCGACCATACAGTCGGCGTGCGCTGACCCGTTGAAATTCTTTTCCTTTGTGCACCGACCCTATGGTCGACCAAAGCTTTTATGCGTTGACCCGCTGGAATATCATTCCTTCATGCGCTGACCCAATGGTCGACGCATGCTTTGTGCGCTGACAGTTCTTCCTTTGTTTCTGATGGATACGTCGACCCAATGGTCGACCCATGTCCTGCCAGCCTGCAAAATATCGTTAGTTTGAAGTTTTTCATGCCTTTAGTCATGATTGCATTTTGTCAACTCAAGGTATATTTATTTTAGAAAATATAAGACAAGCAAAAGGAGAATATGATGAGTGATATGTTGCATCTGGTTTAGTGGATCTGGAACTCATACTTTCCAGTCTATCCTGGGAATTTGTCATCATCGAAACCTGCATTTACCAATGTCTTGCAGATTTGTGTGATATGTGGTGACTTGCCTCCACAATATTTATAGTAAAAAATTTGAATTTGAATTTTGAATTTTGAATTTATGGTAGAGTGAAAAATTAAATTGGTGTATTTGAAATATTTATTGATGTGTAGAAAAGTAAATGAGATGGTTGAAGTGTGTAGAGAATCCTCCACACT